ACATATTTAACTTTAATTAAAACTATACTTATTACATCTTATGTTTTAGACTTATTCCATATCTTTATTTTATTAATGAAGAGAGTTGGGGCTACAAACTTGATTTTTTGAAGATGCCTCTAGTCTTTTCTCCCCTTGGTTCATCGAAATCATAAATCTAGTATTTCACTCTCCTTTTAAGCTTTCTGTGGCTCCCCAGTGTTTATAGGATAAGGAAAGCCTCCTTAGTCCTGCATCATCTGGTTGCATCTATCTTTCCAGCTACAATGCTCTCTCCAGTCTCAGTGACCCTTCCTTACTTCCCTCCTTAGGCCCCAAAGATACAGTCTTCTGGAATTTGATATCCTCTTACATGCCTTTGTCTTGCTTCACCAATTGTCCCCTTGACCTTCCTCGTTTCCTTTCCTAACATATTCCCTTAAGTAGGACTTAATGTTATATTCCTAGAGATCCTCCTAACTTTGCAAGCATGACTCACAGCTCCCACTACCAATGCCTCTGATGGCTGTGTTGCATAGAATTTCCACAGTATTGGGAAGATAGATGACAAACAGGTAAACAAACAAGTTCAACTTGTGTCAGTGATATAAAGGGAACGAGTATGTGCAATGAGATAGAAACGTAGGAGTAGGCTGCTTACTGGTCAAGGAAGGATCTGGAAAAATTACATTTAAGCTGAGACCAAAAATAAAAGAAGGAGCCAGCCATATAAAGTGTGGAAGGAAAATGTTTTAGAGAGGCACATTCAAAATTCTAAGATGAAAAAGAGATTGTGTAATTGAGCAACTGAGAAGATCCCACTGGCTCAAGTACAGTAATCAAAGGGATAAGGGCATGACACAAGGTTGGAGAACGAGATGGGGCCAGATCAGGTCAATCTACCCCACTGAAGGCTTTTAAGTGAAGGAATGTTGTGGATATATTAAATGCCTTGATGCTATGTGGAGAACAGATTGGAGGGGAGCAAGAATATTAGGGAAACCAGTAAAGAGATGATTGCACAGGTCCTGGCAAGGGGTAATTTTGAAACAGTTGATCCTGGGATAAACCCACTGCTATATTCAGAGTAGTTACTAATAGTAGTATCTCTTAAACAGTTCTTTTGAAACCTAGATAAGAAAATATTTGGCAATATTATTATTGCTGTTATAGAAATAATGCCCTTGGCTGGCGAAGTAGTCAGTATTGAGATAATGCAGGTGGTATAGTCTAAGAAGGGGAAAGTAGATTTTTCTCTATGTGAAAAGTGACACCATGAAGGGTCTTAGGCATAGAGAAACATGATCCACATTGTGTTTTATTTTTTTAAAATATATTTTATTGATTTTTTACAGAGAGGAAGGGAGGGAGAGAGAGTTAGAAACATCGATGAGAGAGAAACATCGATCAGCTGCCTCCTGCACAACTCCCACTGGGGATGTGCCTGCAACTCAGTACATGCCCTTGACCGGAATCGAACCTGGGACCTTTCAGTCCGCAGGCCAACGCTCTATCCACTGAGCCAAACCGGTTTCGGCCACATTGTGTTTTAAAAGGGGTATAAACATGGTTTAGAAAATTGTGATAATAAAAGAAAACAAATAAGATGGAGGCTATTATAAAAATCAGGTGAAATATGATGGAGACTTAAATGAGATAATAGCTATGGAGACAGTGAGGAGTAGAAAGATTTGAACCATGTTTAGGATAGGATTGGAAGTGGGGAATAGGAAGATGTCCCTGATTTAGTGAGCAAATGAGTGGATAGAGGTTTCATATAATAAGATAGGGGGAAAGATTACTAGTTCAATTTTGGAGACTAAATTTGAGATATGTATGCTTAAATAGAGATTTTTTTTAAAGTAGACAACTAAATATATGAATTTGAAAATACACATGCATGTATATATTTGTGAATTAAAGAAAAATTATACTATGAATATTCTGCTGTTTAATCTTTTTCATTTTTAAACAAATTATGGGAATTTTTAAATATCTGTAATATAGATTTATTTTTTATTTTTAAGGTGCACATTAGTATAGCTATACCATAATTGAATCAACACTTTCCATATATGACCATTAAAATGGATAGTATTACATAGTTGTAAAGCATTTCTGTAGGATAAATTTTAAAAAGTGGAGTTGGTGGATCAAAATGTATGCATTTTTAAATTAAATATTTATATTTTAAATTAAAATATTTAACCTTTGTTTAGACTCTTAGCTCCACATTCAATCCATTCTTGAAAGGAATCGCACCATTATCCATGTGCTAGAGTGCCAATTTCTCTAAATTGGATTCTATCAATTTATATTATGTTTTTTTAATCTGAAAAAGAGAAAAATGTTATCTCATTGTTATTTTACCTTCCCATCTCCTGACCCATGATGTTGACCATCTTTTTATATGTTTATCATTCGAGGATTTTTTTTTGAATGTTTTTTAGATAGAGTTAAAGGGAGGGAGGGAGGAGAGGGAAGGAGAGAGAGAAACACCAATGTGAGAGAGACACATTGATTGGTTGCTTACCAAACATGCCCAGCCCAGGGCCAGGGATCAAACCTGCAACTCCTTGGTGCATGGGTTGACGTTCTATCCAGTAAGCGATGCTGACTAGGGCTAGCCATTCCAGTTTTTGTTCTATGTTAAAAGATATGAAATGGTTCTAGAAATATAAAATGTAAGTAATATTCAAATATTTAAGAGAATAAAAATGAGAAATTTAAAAATAAAAGTAAAGAAGAAAGGAAGCAAGGTAATAAGGAAGAGTAAAGAAAGGAAATGGAGACCTGATTTCTATTTATTTATTTGCTTGTTATTGGATGACATGAGAATTTTGAGAAGTGGTTGGTAGGGGGAGGGTTAAATATTTTACAAAATTATCATTTATGATTTTGCTTTTAAAAGTTGAACATCAAGCATGTCAACCTTGCAGCCGGTGAGCCGCAGCAGCCCGCCAGCCGCGAGTTTGACATGCTTGTTGTACATTAACAAAATGTTAAAGATAGTTTTTCTGTTTGTTTGTTTTTTTATTGTCTAAAGTTTTACATAAGTCTCCTTTTCTCCCAATTGACCCTCCTTCCCAGCCATTCCCACCCGGGCAAGCCCCCACAGATAGTTTTTAAAATGCATTTTAGAAATCAATGTTTAACTTCTCCTTTTCACCTGTATCTTCAGAGACCTTTGTAAACAAATCTGCAAATGCTCAAGAAACTTTGACAGTTAAAGAGAAAGTTAACAAGGACCCTGAAGGAATATTTTTTCCTTCGGAGTAGCCATGTCCTTCATAAGAGCAGCTCCACTTTGTAGGCTGCACAGCAGTTACAGCAAACCCAGTAAGAGGTCTCCCACAGCCCTGTGTATCCTGTTCTATTAATAAAGGAAATGTTCACTAGGACACTAGGGATCAGACACAACTAATTTTCTAAAATGCCAGTGAGTCGATCTTTATCTGTAAAGCCAACACAGACATACGAATGGTTAAAACAAGCTCTTTGCCTCTCAGATTTCAGTGCGATAAGTCTGGTGTTTTATTTCACACTCATAGAACAGCAGCTCTGAATGGGAAGAAGTCTTATTATTTTCAAATATGACTCCAGTTATTAGGGTTCTTTTTTTCTTTATTGATTAAGGTATTACATATGTGTCCTTATCCCACCATTGCCCCCCACCCCACTCCAGTTCACTCCCTTACCTCCCTGGTGTCTGTGTCCATTGGTTATGCTTATATGCATGCATACAAGTCCTTTGGTTGATCTCTTCCCGTTATATTTTTAAATTAAAATATTTAGCTTTTGTTTAACTAGACTCTGGGCTCCACATTCCACCACTATCCCCTCCAAGAAGTCTGATTCTGTGCTATCAGAGTTACAAGTTTATGGTGGTTGGACCAAGTTGGTGTGCCCCCAAAGCACACTGGCCTTTTTTGGAGACTATGATCAAATAAGTTTTGTCATTCCAACTCTAGGAATGACAAGTTAAACACAGCCAAACACTGTGATTCTTTGTGGTGACCCTTCTAACTTCAAGAGCAGTTGTTTTACACTGAATGCCCTAAGTGGTGTGTCTATTATGGAAATTGAGTCCTTTAGGCTAAATCACTATTATTAAAATTGGGAAGTTTGGCTACCACGCACATGTAGACACTGTTCTAAAAAATGTTATGTACATTAAGTGATGTTATCATAAAATAATGAGTCAAGATTTGACTAAAATTTATTAAAACTCCAGAAAATTTTAGACATTTTGTTGATGCCTTGAAACTGAGGTTAACTTCTGTGATATTTACTACTTTCTGCAATTCTAGTTTTTACTATTTTTGGGCATG